AGTGATGAGAGTATATCGTCGACGATGCCCCTTGTTCGGATGAAAGTTTTATTTCAAATTACACGGAAGTCTGTGAACAATCTGCTTGGTGTTCCTGTGACACTTGTCCCATGATTTGCCAGTGCAGCCCCGTGAATACATGGACGAAAATGTTTCCACCACCTTACGAACTCAAGATTGCATACTCCAGCATCCATACTTTGAATAATTTGCACGCCGCACAGTGCAGTACTGGAAACAGCATTTATTAGACAGACAAAAAACAAAACAAAATGCCTGTCTCGATCAATCGCACATCCATAATGTTTGTATGTTGATATGCTTGTAAATAACATTAACGTAAAAGTCGAAACAACCTAGACTAGAAGTCAATTCACCAGTCCAGCCAGCTATGGCTCCCTAAGTTGCTTATATTTAATCAGATACTATTTCGTCATCATGCTTTGTTACCTTACCTGTTTATACCACATGAGGGCGTTTTTTTTATGGCAAGATGGCGCAAACGGAAGTCCTTCGCAGGTTTATGGTTTCTCATATGTAAATCATCATAACTCTGAAGATAATCATTTTTTTAATTTTTTTTTTCAAATTTATAATCAATATACATAACTTGATAAATACAAACACCAAAATAGGCCCTATTTAGTTCCCCTTTAAGTTCCGTATATGACAACAATTTTCAAAGATCTACATGAAAGTGATTACCAAAGAGACACTGATATTATTGAGACCCCTATTCACTGGATGCACTAGACAGAAATATTTGTCATCACATATCACTTCAATGCTTGCACACAATCTGTAGGTGGATAACTTGAATAGTTTACATGAAATTCATACTGATTTCTTTTTATTTTACAGAGAATAATGCCAACCACACTTGTTGTACTTCTTCTTACATTTTCAACTTTGTTTCCTTTGCAAAATTAACATTGCTAGCATTTTGGTTTTGAGTTGTTCTTGTTGTGTTTGAAATGGAAGTATTTAAACAAAATTCTCATAAATTCTCTGTTTGAGTGTCAGATACACAATTTTGAGAAAACTGGCATTGAACTCACATCACTTTCTGTGACAACGCATTCTATGTACAAGTGATCACATATTTGGAAGTAGGTCGGCAGTCAGTTCTTTAGCAGTCAATGCCAAAGTGATAAACTATAATGTATGCAATCAGTATTATTACACTCACCAATATTTGTAGGTACTTCCAAAAGCCAGTCTTTCTTCAGATCATTTTTACTTTGATATCCCCAGCTTGGTATCCATTTCTGTGAAACAATTTTATTCATAATTGATTTTTTTTGTTAACCCATAGTGAATATTATATTGAGTTATCTTTTCAGAATTTTGCAATCAAATTTACAAAAAAAAACATCTTTATTTGAACATGCAACTGTCTCGTCTTGAAGTTGTGATTCAAATGGGCTGAATTGACTTTTACAGATTTTTCGGTACAACTATCCATGCACACTTTATTTTTGTATGAAAATGACCAAAAGTCACTAAAACAAGTACAATGTATGAATAAATTCTTCAACCCAATCAACATCAGCCAAACTTGGTATGTAGTGGAAGATCATTCTTACCTTTTGTTCATCATCCCACACCTTTCTGCTTTTTTTCCTGTTTTGAATTCCTTTTAGTCTGGCATATTCCTGCCATTTTGTTGGAGGTCTTGCTCTTGGTATCTAAAACAGTTATAGTTGAAAACATTAAATAGACAAACTTATCAATAATGAATTCCACAGTGCCATATATGACACACACATATATGCAAGGGGCAACTTTCTTTAATGAGTGCTAATTGTTAACAAAGTATTGAATACAAACAGAAAACTGCAGATTTATTGAGTTGAACACAAAGCCCTTTCACACACCACGCAGGAAACCAATCTGAAAAGCAGTTTTCAAGAAGTCCTCTTTAAGAAAAGTTAACAATGAATGAATGACCACCAATGACCACCAATGACCAGAAGTGTACTTACCGATTTTTCTCTAGGCACTCGATATGTTGGTGGGGGTAACTGCAAAAAAAAAAATTTCAACTACTATCGCTAAATTGAAAAAGTACATAAAAGCAACAAAAAAATGGCCAAAAATTCAAGTGCTGAGTCAGTGCCATTGTGAGCATTATCTAGTTGCCAAAATATTTACGACTGTTCTAATAGATACTGATGTGAACACAAGATTATGAGATCCATATATTTTGTATTACCAGGCACAAATTATGCCAACATAATTTTTTCTAATGAGAACACAGTAATTAATATTACACCAAGGCAAAAAATGAGGGCCCCGAAGTTGAAGTTCAATAATGAATAAAGAAATGGAAAATGAAATAATTGGAAAGTAAATCAATACACTAAATACCACTGTCTACTGGTTTGACTGTTTTTATTGCATTCTAATGTATACTCACTTTTGCAACTATGACATCCTCTACTCTTTCAACAGGTAACTGGTGGTGAAAAATAATTAAAATATCAAGGAAAGGAACGCATGTGCTTTGGTAAAGTGCAGAGGTGTTTCTATATTGTATTGGAAATGTATTTCTAGTAAAAGCAGCACACATAAATGTAAAACACAACTTGAGTGAAAGGATTCTCCAAAACTGCTGTTTTATTTACGGCTACAATCAATAAGAACATTGCCTCAAAACATTTTTCAGATTGTGTCAACATAGCGTGTCAACTTGACGTTTGTTGACAGGCAACATTTTATTATTTTTCTTGTTTCTTTCTAATTTTGTCAAATAAAATGCTCAAATCATCGTTTTAGCGTATTTTTAACAGATATTTTCAAATTCTCAGCTAATACCCAGGACACAAAGAATCTACCCAAATAATTGTGATGGAGTAGGAACGCCAACAATTACTAAACATGGGTTACAGGGATTTTTTTAAACAAGGGAACAGGGGCGCAGCGCCCTCATGCCATGGCCATGCGCCCCCTTAACTAGAGGAGCAGATCCTCTGGCAACCATAAAATTCTGATTGACCAGAGATCAAATGTGGCCAGCCTTCAACTCTGACCTGTCTGATAGTAATTTTGGCCCCAAAGGAGCCATAAAATGTTTCATTTTAACTCAGAATTATCAAAAACTCCACACCCTGGTAGGGAGAACAATATCTCTTCCACTTGGTGGTGCCGCTGAATTGCAGTGTTCCCTCTTGCAGTTTTTTTCTAGAAAAATCCCTGGGTTATCAAGACTGATAATGAAGTTTGGTGTTGTAGTCATTTGCAGTACCAATAAAGCCAAAGTGAGTGACATTACGATACCTAATGGCAAACAACCAAGTAACCAGCAGGAATAAAATCCTTAGCAACATTCATTTGTTTGAATATCTATTTGAGTTTCATTTGGACTGGTTACTGCAGTCCAAGACCACATCAAGATGACTTGTGAGGTAGACTTGTGAAGCCTGGACAAGGCAGTGAAATCAGATTGTCACACTACCTGTAAATTGTAAATCATATACCTTTTCTTCTCTTAGACAAATTAGAAAGCATTTATCCTAATGTAAACCATCAATTAGTTTTACATATTGAGAGTGATCTCCTAATTATTCAATATTGATATTAATTTACATCAAAGTTAAGGGCAAGAAAAGATGGTAATCACATGATAGATTATTTTCTCAGTGTATGATGCAGATAATTGTTGTTATTCAGTCTGAAATTTTTGTATCACATGATTTATTTTTCTCCCCATACTGTTTGAGCATAAAACAATTACATGTAGTGTAAATATTGTATTGTTTTCTAGAGCAGTGATATTTCACACTAAACATTGTATGAATTGAATGTGTTGTGGGTATGTGATAAATACACATATCTTTATCTACCTACAATGTATGAATAACAATTGTAATCAAAGTTTTTAATGCAAATATTCATGTTGTTACCTTCCATATGTCATTGATGAGTAGTTGAGTATTGTCTCTGGCAAGGGAATCAAGAAAGGTCTTTTTATTTTGTCTGAGAAAAAAATGTAATAAATACAACTTTTGTAATCAATACAAACTTGATCAGCTAATAATGAAAAGTAACAATTAATGTAGGTGTACCATTTAAATGACTTGATGCATCCAGATTTTTCTCACAACTACACACAAATTATGTTCCCTGTAACACATTTGCTATGTTCACACGACAGCATTTTATCAGAGCCCTATGGCTTGAGCCAGCAAAACTGCCCATGTTTACGCATTCGACTCGAGGCAAGTTCAGCTACACTAAACCCTTGGGGTTGAACTCCGACAGGGTTGAGCCCCGACAAGGCCTGACCATGTATATATTACGTACATCCATGCTTTAAATAAAATTTACCGACTTTGCTTAAAATACGCAATATTTTTAGACGTAACACTGAACAGAAGTGCTCCAAATGAGCTCGAAGTAAATGCTATGATGTCACCACTGTCTACCCACAAGCGCAACACACACTGTACAGGGAATTCGGGCGATTCACACCTTAGAATAGTGTTTCCCAACTATTTCAAGTATTGGGACAGCAAGTAAGCTGACTTGCTCACTAATTTGTCAACCACTTTGGTTTTGACTAAATCCAATGACCTCCAATTCTGTCACCATAAAATGATAGGTATTTATATCACAGTCCCTCTATCATAGAGGGACTGTGGTATTATCTATAAAAAACGGTATTTTAAATAAGTTAATGAGGTTTTATAAATAAGTTTATGAGATTTTACGAAACAGAAAAGTATGCAAAGATATTTTGTCAAAACCAAAAGCGAATTAGTGAACAAGTTTGCTAACATGCTTCCCAATACTTCTGAGATTTGCTGTAAACAGTGTACAAGACGTACCCGTAGTCAATCAGCTGATCTCACAGACGGACACAACAGTCAATTAGAAATGAATTTGTTCTTTCTCACCTGAAAGATCTTACTTCCAAAGGAGTTGTGTCGAAAGCGAGAAGATTTCCAGGATCAATCTCTAGAGGAATGGCTTTTTTAACTTCAATACTTTTATATTTTTTCTCTTCTTCCGCTGCTGCCAGGAGCACGCTTTCGACAACAGTAGCCATTTTTAAAACTCTGTAGGTCGGTTGAAATTATCAGTATGGCTGCTTTAAAGTCTGCAGCTCAAACTGTAAATTTAGAACTTAATAATTGATATGTATTACAACTCTGTGGAATTATATAAGCCTCGCTATTTTACTAATTGTCAAGTAAAAAATATGTTCCCAGTAAAACGGATTTAGCGCAAAATATTGTAGGTCATGCAAGGTCATATCACCCAGCATGCAATAGTATTCGATCTCTTCCGTCGACGAACAAGATGGTGAGTTTATTGAAATGTAACCTCTCCTTCTAAATCCGTTTACATCTGCTTCTGTTAACTATATTTTCTTCGCAATTGAATGTAATACCGTTCCTTATAGATTAAAGTCTCCATCCAATGTTTTATTTTAGGGTATAGACCTCAACCATCGGAACCTGAGAAAGGTTCACAGAAAGAAACCGAGAAGCAAGGATGTCTATCTCAGACTGCTCGTCAAGGTATAAACACTGACAGTAACACGCACACTGTTGTATGGTTGTGACGTGCGACTTTAAGTTAAGAGCTTAAGATAAATCAAAATGCATGCTATGCACGTTGGGTGTAATGTTATGATTTTGAGTTGGACGTGACAGTTTATTGGATTTTAGACCCAGAGACTACGCATCCGTAGTATCGTATCCCATGTGTGGAAGGCAATAGTCTAGCGACCAACTGGAATATTTGTAAACACATTAATTATTGATAAGTAAAATTCGACAATTTAAATTAACGTGAACATGTAAAGTAACAATAGAACTCGTTTTTTTCCTGTAAAGTTGGTTAATTTAAAACTCTGAAGCAACTCAAAACAACAACAAAATTAAATAGCTCCCGAATTTCAACCACAGGTCCAGGACAACCCTAGTTACTGTAAAATACTTTAATTTCGCTTGGAATTAATTTTCGCTGAAGGAATGATTCAGTGAAAATATAATCCAGCGAATATACCTTTTTTCCTATATTTTACATTCAACTCGTCAAAAATCAGTGAAAATGTATTCCACACAAAAAAAAAAAAAAAGTTGTTTCGGCGAAAATTAATTCCAGCTAAAAAATAAAGTATTTTACAGTATATTGGTGGGAGGGGTAGATGTATTCATTACCATTGTTAACGAGTCTTTATCTTTGACTTGCCCTGCAATATTGTACAAATGTATATTTTGACTCTTGTCTGAGCATCAATATGGAACTTGTTTTTTCAAATCAAATTAATGTTTTGCTATATTATGTTGACAGCTGTACAGGTTTTTGGCTCGCCGAACTGGTGCCAAGTATAATATGATCGTCTTGAAGCGTTTGTTCATGAGCCGAGCAAACCGCCAACCCATGTCTATTGCTAGAGTGGTAAGTGACATTTGGAGGGGGATATGATGTACTATTAAATATGGGATGCTTGGTGTTGGAAAACCCTTTTTCACATTGTTGGTAAATTTAATGTTTGGTAATGTGAGCTGTATTAATCACAGATCCTAAAACAATTGAATGTTAAGTCGAAGAATTGTTTTGTTAACGCATAACTAGCAATACCATTGGCTGATATGTTGCATCCAAATAAATAGATCTGGCTCTCTGAAATGATCATTGCTTGCCATACAGCTATATTATCAGTCAATTAGCTGAACAGATTGCCAGCTAGGTGTATGAAACAAATTTGTGTTCACATTTATGTTCTTCTTGGGAGCAAATTAAAACAAAGCAGTCAAAATCAAACAAGTTCAGCTTGCTAGTATTGCCTACGACAGGCAGGCTGATTTTAGTGATACAATAAATGCAAGTTTTAGTTTGTGGTGCACTTCTGTAATCCCATATTCTAAAGTGGTAATAATAATAGCTTGTTGCATCTTAGAAAAAAGTTTCTATTAGTGTGTAAAAATAACATTTTATGAAAAAACTTGTACATAAATTGAAATAAAAAAGTCAAGTTTATAAATTTTGTTTGTTAAAAGCAGTGTGAATATAGTGTGCAACAGTGGTTAATTTACTTTGCGCCAGGTATTTAAATTTATATATATTTTTAATAATATGAATACTGAATTCTCAAGAAGATGAAAACTTTTGGATTTATATTCATATATTGTTAATGATAAGTTCTTAATATGTCGATTGGAACTCATTCACAGACTCGTCAAATGAAAAAACCAGGACGTGATAACAAAACTGCTGTTATTGTAGGAACAGTCACAGATGATCTGAGGATATTTCAGATTCCTAAACTCAAAGTAAGTAGATTGATGATCATTGTTCTTTATTGTTGTTTAGAGTAAATTAATTCAAATTCCATAACTATGATCAATTTAGTTCATATGTTTAATTGATTAGTCCAAGAATGTTTGTTTTACAGCGAGCATGAAAATAAACTTTTCATGAAAATACTTACTTCATATCAATTTTCCTTGGAGCATTGCAATATACCTAGAAGATTCTTAGTGGTGTTTTTGTTACGACTTTGCATTTAACCATTGTAATTTAGCGTATTAAAAGTTTCAATATATTTGATGGAGTGCTGAAATTTGAAATTGAGTTGTATGCTTATGATCAAATGATTCATTGAATTAAAGTTTACAACACTTGTTGCATTCAAAAATTTACCATTTAATTATTTCACTCAAAATCTGATTTTGAAAAACATTCCCCCCTACAAATTAAACTATCGACGGAGCACCATCTGCAACATGATTAAAAAATATCAATGAACAGGGCTAGTCATTTGTGATTTAAATATGAACGACATCGTGTAGAACCATATTTAAAATCGAGAGCGAAAAAATTGTGTACCGGTATACCCAGCAGCCCTGTCAATGGGTGCTAGCTGTTGGAATCAAAGAGGCCAAGTCAAAACAAACCTCATCAGTTTATTTCAGTGCTGTAAAATGTGGTTAACATTGAATTGATTACATTGGTTTTAGACTACATGATGAATATCTAATTAAACCGCAAGAAAAATTGTCATGCAAATAAATTAGCAGTTTTAGTTTTCCAGGTTTTCTTTCATTCTCTTGCTTTTTATTCTGTATAGATATGTGCACTGCATGTGACAGAGGGTGCTCGTTCTCGTGTTCTCAAATCTGGGGGTGAAATCATCACTTTTGATCAGTTAGCTCTGCGATCTCCTAGAGGACAAAACACAGTGCTCCTTCAAGGTAAGTTTTTTTTTGATTCTGGTTCAATATGGCTGAATGGTCATTGCTAAAAACTTGTGTGCATTTCTGCCTATCCGGATTTGGGTTGTTGTTGTAGCCACCACCACCACCACCACCACCACTGTAACAATTTTAGAGTACTCAGGGCGTTTATCTTCTGAATTCAAATAGTGGTAAAAAATGTCAGATTAGTGTGTCATCAGTGTTTGTAATGAATACATATTTTAGGTTTTTTCCCACATACTTCTGTCAATTTGTCTGTATTTTTAGTCCCCGTTCGGACGCAGTCCGAAAACGGGGACTTATGTTTTGCCCTGTGTGCGTCCGTCCGTGATCACCTGTATCTCGAACATGCATGGACCGATTAAGTTCAAACTTCACTCATACATCACACATTATATGGGACATATGCACATGCATTTGTTTCATGATCTGATTAATGATAGCTGAATAGCGGCCGCTTTAAGGCCGAAAATGCATTGAAATCGCACATTTTCACCATTCCGGACCCGGATCTCAGTTATGCATGGACGGATTTCATTCAAATTTGGTACATACATTAAACATAATAGGACCTTGATGCACGTCTTTTTTTTTTTTCGGATCAAGTTCGAAATGGCTGACTGGCGGCCATTTTGTTAAAGAATTCAGTTCTGGATCCGTATCCAAGACATGTCTGGATTGATCAAGTTCAAACTTCACACACACATGGTACATCATGTCACAAATAGATATGTGCATTTGTTTCATGATCTGCTTAACAATAGTGGAATGATAGCCATTTTAAGGCCGAAAATGCATCAAAATCACGTATTTTCACAATTCCAGAACCGGATCTCAGTCATGCATGGATGGATTTTGTTCAGATTTAGCACAATGTGTTGTACATATGCAGGTGCATTTCGGTCATGATCTGCTTTGAATGTATACGTCACTCAAATATGAACGGAACGGGGACGTGTCATTGACAATGACTTGTTTTTAAAGGGAATCTTCCAAGATCATAGCATATTTCTGTATTTTGCCATTTTCTTAAATTCTACGATCTGCATGAAACATAAGCAGCACTCATAATTTGTCTGTTTCACTTGTACCTCAAGAACTGTTGTTTTTTGATGCTCTGGGCTAATTTGCAGATTTGATGATGGTTCGGTTGAAACCATGCATATTAATTGCCTAATTTGCATGATAATTATCTAACTGTTCCATTGATATTTATAGAACCAATCATTGGATTTTGATTAAACTTGGTAATAGATGCTCTGGACTAATGCACAGATTTGATTAGTTTTGGGTAAAAACCATGCATATTAATCACATAATTTGCATAATGATCAGTCAATTTTTGGCTTTTCCACTGATATCTTGAGTACTAATTTAATTTCAATGAAACTTGGTACATAATTGCATTACGAAAAAAATTGTGCACATGAATTACCTAATTTGCATAACAATGCATAATTGGTGATTAATTAATTTGGTTCTAATCACATTTCAATGAAACTTGGTGCACAAATGGTCTGTAATATTCCAGTCACATTAATATTTGTTCATAATAATTACCTGATTTGTCTAATAGTCAGTTTTCAGTTTTTCCATCAATATTTCAAGTACATAAGGACAATGCTACGATCTAATTTGTTTCGTATATATACATCCATAAAAATTATCTAATTTGCATAATAATTGACTTTTCAGCTTTCCAGAAATTTTTCCGGGATTATTTATTACATTATAATGAAACTTGGGACATATGTACTCTTGAACAATACAGACCTATGGGTTGATTCTATGCACAATAATTGCTTGATTTGCACAATAATTCATTTGTGTAATTCGCACGATGAGTTTAAATGTATATTAACTATCTAATTATTAGCCCCATTTCTAATATCTCAAAACATGTGTTAAATTAGACTGAAAACCACAGATGTACAATCAAGTTTATTTTAAGTAATATTAACTTCAATAATACTGATCGCAAGTTGTGCATCTCAATAATAGTCGCCCATCTTCTTGTTTGAAACGCCAAACTTAAATTTGAATTCATTTTGAATGCTCTCAAATACTCTAGGCACACAAGATTTGTACTTGCTCTTTTGTAAATCGAACGCATTGTATTTCATGGTCGCGTATAAATCGGACTTTAAACAGACCATTTCATAAAATGTCAATATATATTTCCATGACTGCAAATTATAATCACTTGATTATCAAAAGATTGTAATTTGTAAATGTTTCAATATGGCTACCAACTATTTTTTAGATCATTGAGAAGACTGAAGTCTATTCAGTGATAGGCATGTAATATATTCAAATATGTCACTAACTACTGATTGACTATTTTTTTTTTGATTTTCAGGTCCACGAAAATCCCGTAAAGCATACAGGCACTTTGGAAAAGCTCCTGGTGTACCAAACAGCCACACTAAACCATTTGTACGAGCTAAAGGCCGTAAATTTGAGAAGGCTCGTGGTCGTCGTGCAAGTCGAGGTTTCAAAAATTAAATATTACACTTATAATGCAGAATAAAACTGATTTTCTGTGAGGAACAAAGTTGTCAGTCATCTTTATTGTAGCCTGTTAGTAGTGATACCTAACGAACGCAATCAGCTATTAAATGCGATTGATTGATAGTCAATCTGAAGATTATGGATACTTGCAGACCAGAACAGATTTACAGATTTGTGGGTATTTAGTAGCTGGTAAAACCCTCTGCAGAAAATTAACTTTGTTAATGACAGGAAATAATAGCGTACTTTGTAACATTGCTCGCACACAAAAATGTGCTGTAAAATAGATGTTTGTATATAGTGCTATGTGTAAATTTTAAATTATCCAAACTGTATGGATTATACTGATAATGCCTTGATTTTTCACTACATTGTTATGGTTAGTTTGGGGCTGATGAATACTAAAGCCTTAACATGTTATAATCAAAGAAAGCTTAGAAAGAACTCCTGTGTGCTGATAGTATTGGGAACACATTAAAAATTAATTCAAAATTACTTGTACTAGAGATATTGATGGAAACGCAGAAAACTAATTATGCAAATAAGGTAACTAATATGAACAGATTTAAGTGTAAAACTAATAAGGTCTGCACAATGTACCAAGTTTCACTGAAATGTGATTAGAACCAAAAAAATATTAATTATTATTCTAATTAGAGAATTAATATGAACAGATTTTAACCCAAAATTAATCAGGCTGTCTATTGTCCTAGAGCATGTATGTACCAAGTTTTATTCAAATGTGATGATCAATACTTGAGATATCAGTATTAATTATGTTAATTAGGTGATTAAGAAGCATAAATATT